AATACAATTAAGCCCAAATGCTCTATTTTTATTTCTGGAAAAAGTATCAGTGCATCTATTTATTCAAATATTTAGTTTCACTTATTCCCTCCTCTATTTTAAATATATCAGTTGCTTTGAAATCATTGGGGATTCATTTGTAAGTAAGCAAGTATGCTTATATGTGTGACCCTAGGCTCATTTCAGATTAGAAAGAGTATCCTTCAGAATTAATCCAGAATCTGTGATTTACTTCCAAAGTGATTTTTCCCTAGATATATAAGTGATTTGATAGCTGAATGTACCAAAAGCCAGAAAGTTAGTTTGATACTAATAGTGGAAGGAGCAAGTAAAAAACAGATCACTTCTGAGGTCAAGGCAACTGTGTATGAGGCAGTTTTAAAGCTAATTCTGTATGTTTGGTCTAGGCAATGGTGACAAGAAAACTGTAAGAGAAACATAGAATAGTGGCTACATGCTGATACTATATGGTAGCGTTGTTGGAAAACTTATTTATAATAAATGAAAAGTGAACAAACTGGAATGAATCTCAACATGCGTGCAAGTAGAACAGATGATAAGAATATACTTGCTATTCTGCTTAATTAGACATTTTATTTCCAATAGATAATAAAAGATGGACATGACTTTTCTCAATATCATCTGACTCTGGCATAGATGTACATAATATGTGTCTGCCAACATATGTGTTTGCCTACATATGTCCAAAAAAAGTAACACAAATAACACAGCATCAAGCCCCAGCCCTAGACTTCAGGAGCAGGTGGCAAGAAGAATCCAAGCTGGGTAACATAGCTTACATGTTATGTTTCATGACCATGGCTTGAAGCCACATTACAAATCCACAATAGGAAAGCTGAGGATGAAATTGAAAGATGTGTTACTTCTTGTACTACTAATATGAGCATTGTTATTAACTGAAGAAGTGAACAGGAATTACAAATAAGAGTTGGCAGTGGAGGAAAATGCAAGGAAGGAGAGAGAGTAACCAGAAAAGCTGCGTGATCTGAGGGATTGTGAAGAGGCAGCTATGAGAGTGAAAACATCATCTAAATAACTGCTGATTGTAAGGATTCTCCCCTGAGAGTCATTGACTGTGGATAACTGGGTAGCTGCTTCCTTCTGAGTAAGCAGAGACTGTAGGAAGAATGTAAGGCAGCCAGTTTCCAGGGAATGTGCTGAAAGAACAAATGTGGATTTGTTGTTGAGTATGGCAGGGGAATTGCTAACACATTTTCCATCTAATCTGAGAGTCTTAGAAGGAATTTAGGACAAATAAAAGGTTTCACTTCTACTAGTGGAATCTTAAAAAACAAAACTGAATATGAATGCACAGAAATCTGCAGTCATGTTTGTGGGATTGTTTCTGTTTTTGCCTGAAAGGAACCTGGCATAGATTTGCAAAAGATTAAGGTTTTATTGATCTTGGAAGAAAAAGTCAAGGACCCACATTTCAATTGTTGAGAAAGGTTGAGAAATGAGAAAGGACTACAGTAGACCTTGGAAAGCCAGTTTCGTGTAATAATTCTTATTAATTTACTGCAGATTATATACCAATCTACCATCTGTACACCTCTGACAGACAAGATAAATTGATTAATTGGACAAATCAGGAGTGTCTAACTTAAGGGTCCAGAACTCCATGTGTTGCCCCAAAGCTTCCAGTGTACCTCCACTTGCCACCAAATTGTATCTTGTGAGAATTGAATATGCAGGAAGTAAACCTAATAATGTTTTGTCCTGAATCTATATATCTTTGGAAGTATAGCCTCCATCATGCCATTCAAATGCAAGTGTCAATCTTGTTGTAAAAATATTGTGGACTTATGCTTTGGCAAGATTTCTTATTTAAAGTCAAATGATAACAACAGAATGATAACAATGATTTTTAAATGATGAAAGACCGCCTCTAAACTTATTTTCTCCTTTCAGGTGAGCAAGAACCAGCAGTCAGTAGTGATTCAGATATTTCATTGATTATGGCAATGGAGGTTGGACTCTCTGATGTGGAACTTTCTACTGACCAAGACTGCGAAGAGGTGAAATCCTGAAAGAAAGAAAACTATCAAAACACCCTTCTATTAGACTAAGGGGCAGTAGCAGGAAGAAGAAACCAGTTGTGGTACACACATGATTATCCATATACACATGTGCACATATGTAAGATTTGGGTCAGTTGTGTACACATGAATACCCATATACACATGTGCACATATGTAACTATATGCACCTGCACAGACATACAGAATATTTTGTGAACTCCAGTTAATTCTATTCTGGGATGGTCATGAAAAGCAATAGCAACAGATGTGTCTGCCTGGATGCAGTTTCATTATCAATTACATTTGTTCATTTCATTGAAAATGGAAGTTGAAAATGTACTGTTCTAACCCATGTGCCAGAAGAATTATGCCCCTGCTTGGTGGCTCAGAACCATGTAACTGAAATGACGGTTTGGTTTTTTCCCCTCTACTTTTTTTTTAAAAGGAAGAAAAAAGATACCATAAGGTGATGATAGCTGACATTGATGGACATTATTTTTCTTTCTTCTCATTAACCCAAGCTTATTCAAGTATTCACTTCAGAAATCTGAATATTATGGTGGGTCACAAAAGTGTATGAATGCCAGGCATTTTCTACATGAAGAAAGCATGGCTTCGGGAAGAAATGGTGCTTCCAGACATTGACTTGATTTGAAGACTCTTTTTATTAAGATATTCCCGGGGCTTGGAGATCTGGGCTTCCAGGGTCTTCCAGACAGGAGAACAGAGGCTGGTTTGATTGAGATTGGCAAATTGCTATACAATCCTGCTGGATCTTGCTCTGAGCTTTAGGACTCTGATATATGACTTCCAAGTGAGAGAAGATGTGTGAAGACAATAATCAGAATGAGATTAAAGGTCAACTAGTACATGTAGCCTTTTGCTACCACTACATACTCTTCATGCCTTAATGGCTTTCATAATAATTGATTTGAAATTAGCTTCACTTAAAAAAAGAAAGTAAGCTTTCCCATGAACTTTCTGACCTATGAATGAGTGGAATTCATTGATAGTATTTGTGGTTAGATGGAAAGTAAATAACCATGTTGAAGAAAAGCAGCAGGGGCTATGGTAGTTTAGGGTTGTTACCAACAGACTGAGATTGTTTATCACATAAAGTATACCTTGAAAAATCACTTTATCCCCAAGAATAAACATAATTGTTAGTTACTCTTATTTTACAAGTGACAGTTTTCCCAGTTTCCAAGGAACGTCTCAACTTATGTGGGAAAGGATACTCACATATAGCCTAATCTTTATTTACATAACTCCATTTTAATATTGTTGGACAAAGAACCAGTAATCCAATTCAGAGAGATCTTTTCATTCCTAGAAGAGAGTAAAACTATACTAAGAATGAACTGCTTTCCTGCATACCCCTTAAACAAACTGATTATAGCACATTTAAATTCACCTTAAAATCATTTAGAAGGTCTCAGGCAGTTTTATTATCATGTGTGAAAATATGCTACAAACACCTTTTGTTATTGTTTATGCTCCTGATGTGGAATATGCAGGCTAAACCTTTTACTGGTTCCGGGACAAGTTTAGATGTAAATGAAAAGATGGTTATTCATAATCCTATTTCTGAATCATAACTGAAAACTGAAACATTCAAAAGCAAATTCACTAAGAATTGTGTGTTTTACTCTAAATAATGTATGTTGAAAATAAGTGCCATTAGCTGTTGGAATTTAAGCGATTTTGTATTATGCTATCGCTTAATGGGGCGTGCTATTTATGCAGAAGAACAATGTGTATTTTAATCAAAGTACTCAAGAAGGACTTTTCATCTTATTTTCTGTCACAGAAGGTTAAGCCATTACTTCTTACAATAAGAATAGTGATTTCAATCACAGCAGATAAACAGAGGTAATACAGTAACTTGTTACTAAAAACTGAACAGACACAGACTCTATTTTTTCTTTCTGTAGTAGAACAGTACTGTAAGAATTCATTCAGAGGTGAGCAAAACATAGATCTAGATCTACCTGATGGATCCTGGGTAACTGGCTATAGATCAGGAACTATTCCTGATTTATACCTGTGTAATGACAGTAGCAGCAAAAGGCCCTTTCCACCTTAAATTACCATTTGATCCAAGTATTGTTTCTTTACCAAAAGACTGCACATTCCAACCTCGCTCGATAGTTGAGGTTTTAGCCCCATAAATTTCTAAATCTCAACATCTGACTTTTCTGTATCAGCCTCCAGCTGGTGAATCCAAAGACAGAAATAACAGCAGTATTAAATCCTTAAAAACAGAGATTTGCCAACTTCCAAAATAAATGATCCCATGTACTGTCTTGCTACTCTTCTCCTTATATCTCTTGATTTTCCCCTCACTGCCATTAGTTTTCCTAATTTGCTACTAAATGAGAAGAGGAAACTGAGCAATGAAAGAATGGCCAAGCTTTGGCATTTAGCACGGCTTATCATGTTCCACAAGAAATTGGAAACCTTTTAGTCCAAATGTCATCATTCCTGCCATTTCTTTCTATACTTCTGGACTCCAGCATATCTTACCAAATGCCACTCGGGACAGTGCTAAGGATGGGCATTCAACCCAAAAATGGAAAGTGTTGAGGATACCATCCGCTTCCATTGTTCTTTGTTCAGGATGGGGGATGAGAGTGTCTTGTGAAACCTAGTCTTGGCCCTGTGAATAGTGCAAGGAGAAAGTCAGAGTACATGGGAGCAACAGTTTTCACATTGTATCAAGGTTTGGTGTTGCATCTGATTTATTATAAGCACCGAAGCTATAATTTAGAAAGCAGATTGGTCGCTTTAAGATCATTATCTTCAACAAAGCAGCAGTGAGAAAGATCAGTCTGCCCCATCTCCATGAAGCCTAATGAGGAACCTCCAACAAACTGATGCAGTTTCATTTGACTTTAAAATAACATGTCCTAGGAACATGAGTCCTCTGTTTATTGCTGTTCGATGCAAATCAGGGAAGATTAAACCCTCCTCTAGTAATACAAAGAATCTTTGTGGGTATAACTTGTGCTGCCACATTTTGTTAACTGTGCCTGTGAAAACATACATGTCAGACTATAAAGATGTAGTTGCTTTAATCTTGGAAGAGGCTATTCACTGTCCCAGTATATTCTTGTCTAAAAATATAAGGCAACCATCTCTTCAGTTTAATTCATTTCCATGACATGTCAGATACTATATTAATAAGACAGGGGCAAAAGACAGTCTCAGTCTTGTAGGGTCAGCTTTCAACATGGCTTTACTACACAGTCATGTCCAGCTTTATGTTACCTACAGTGTTGCAGCATCATAAGTAAGTGTGCCTATCTGACTCTGCTTAATTGTAGCCATATTAAACCATGTTGTCCACCTGAATCCAGCACATTTGCAAAGCTGACTTATGATAATCAAAAGTAATGGTAGCTTGTGAACTGTCCCTAGACCTGTCTCTGTTCCTCCTGTCTCACTTCAACCATTTCCATGCTATCTGATGGTTAACAACATCACTGACATATTATTCTAAGCAGTAAAGGCCATTCTTTTCCCATAACTGGTGGTAGGTAGATGGCTAACAGAATAGCATTGTGACCTTGCACTAAGTCTGATTGTTTTTCTTTTCCAATGTAGCAAATTAGGGAAAAGTATGTAATACTCTAGTCCAATATTTACAGAATCTTCAAAAACCACACATGTACTTTTGAAAATGTGAAACACTGACATTGTGCTCTGCTTTAGGAAGATGCTTTCTCTCAGTGTCACTTATTCAGACTAGCAGTACTTCAACAAAAGACATTCTGTATCATCTGTAACTTCTTCCTTTGAACTGAAGAAAACAGTAATTGAACCTTGGTGGTTTTTGTTTTTTGGCCGTCTAAGAATGTGCTTGGTGCCAGTGAACTAAAGCTAACGAATGTTTCCTGATTTATTATTAAATTACAGTAACCAATCTGTAATTTACTGTAGACGTCTTACCTGATAATTGATATTAAATGCAATAGAATAGCCCAGAAAATCAGTTAAATATTATCTTCTAAACACAATGGACTTTTAGGTGTATCCATAGAAATGTATATTAAGAATCTGATAAAATTGCAAAGACACCTAAATAATGGCCCTCAATCTGATATAGTTTTCTGTATATAGTCAGTTTAGAGTTCTGGCAAGACAACGTGCCCCAGCCTAATGAATAGGGGAGAAGCAGACAGAGAGAGAGATGTCAGAAAGAGGAGGAAAGGGATATTAGAAGCAGCTAATGGTTTTTTGCTCTGAACTGCCCACTAGTTGCTTAAACCCCACCAACTATTGAACGGACTGCAACCCCATGGGGACCCCCAAGCTTCTTGGCTTGGCTTTCTACTTCTAAATCCATTCTGTCACTAAAAGCATAGAAGAGAGAAATAATTATCATACTGTAGCTGTATGATTTAAATGTGGACTGCATGCTGATGGTCAACCGGGTGATAATAGTAACATGTTGGAAGGCAGAACTGCATGTATCTTGAATGACCATACTGTCCTCAGGTGGCATTATAACTGTTAAAGTAAGACCCGTCCATCACGACTGAACTCTCAGTCATTCAGCTATTGCACATGAAATGCAGGAGGGGGAACTCACTTATCTGTAACGTAGACAGCAAAGTCTTTTGCCAGCGTTGTTGCTATATACAGCTGTTTTTATGAGAACTTACATCTATTTAATCAAATTTAATAATGCAGAACAGTCTCTGCCAGTGCACAATTCTAATAACTTCACCAGTATTAAGAACAGACTTATTTTCAGTATGAGCTTCCAGTAGTATTTATAACCTCTCCCTGTTCTTGTCTACTCTCTAGGGAGAGTAGTTCCATTGTAAGTTTGCACAGTATAAAGTCTGTGAAAAACCTGAGATTTTACTTTTCTGTAGCTCTTTGAGAAATCACACCCCACTTCCCACTAAGTGTTTCTAGCATGCCATCAATAGAAACTGCCTCATAGTCATTAGACACAGTGTCACTGCCAGTTTTTCACCTTGAGTGTACTTTTGCCAACAAGTATGTGGAGCAAGCTCAGAGCAGATGCATTTTCCAGTATCTACTTGAAACATAGTTTGGGTTAAAGACAGCTGGAAGAGAAATCTTGCTTTTGAATGTGCTTCCATTGTCAACAAGAGGAGTCAACAGTCTAGTAAAGGAAAACACAGTTCAGAGGACAGAATATATACGCACAGGTACAAATGCCAGATAGTGCCGGGAGTTATGTAAAGATCCTCTCTGCATTTGACTGACTCAGATGTACTTCCATATCTACTGAGACTTTCCCCAAGTATTCATACACAGGGTTGCAGCTGAGAAAGCTTTAATGCAGCGTTTCTGTTTATAATAGATGTGTTTGTTATAAGCAGGCAGGATATAAAAACAGCAAAAAAGACTGAGCTGTAACAAACTTTGTTTTCCTTTTTTTAACTGAAGCAATTGATCCAAATAATAATAATAATAATGTAAGATAATTTTTAGCATGTAGGTCTTTGCCTAGCAGATGGTGTTTGCTAATAGTTACATAGCAAAGGAATGCCCTCTGCTGTGAAAGTTTCATTTTTTAGAACTTCTCTCTTAATATATCTGTTGCTTCAGTACAGTAGTCAGAAATTATTTCACCAGTAAAAATGCTGATTCATAACAAGTGGGACTGAGGAAAGGGACTGTTGTCCACTATTATAAAAAAGATGAAAGGGAAATTGCACTGAGCATATGAAAGAGGCCTCTTGAAAAATCTAATATTTATAGCATGTCATCCTCAGCAAATAATTTCTTTTCAAAATGCATCTTACAAGAATGAATGTGTGGAAGACAGGACAAAAAGAAGAGAATGAACATTTTTCTTCCCATTTGCTTCTTTTCTACCTTGTTTGTTTGTTTTGAAGGCATCAAATGTTACCCATTTCTTTTGCTGTAATGGTTGTTACTGATGTGAAATATCAAAATGTTTTTTTACATGTACATAGTATCATCCTTTCTTCCTGTTTTCATGGTTAAGTCACCTGATGAAGGTATTTACCATTTTATAAATATAATAAAATGTAAAGCAGGGATTGATTTGGGTGGGTGGGAAGGGCTGTTATTTTTATAGCAAGATGTTCCTTGTACCTATGAGCTTATAAAATAATTTTGTACTTGTCAAACTGTACATTCCATCCATTTCTCAAAAATATTTTTTATTTAAAGGACTTTATAAACACAAAAACATTTGATAAAGAGTTTCATCAATAAGCCAAAAATATTTGGTTTACAGTAATTGCTCCAAAGTTCTCTCCTGCTGTATCATAATGAAGACTGAATACTATACCAGCAAATGCCAATAAAAAAAAAAACTAGAGAAATTCCTTTTAAATAGTGGCATTTAAATTATTTCTAATTGCAAAACACTTTTTTGCAATTTGTTTTCCAGCAAAAGAGTTTGCTTCTACCTGCTGGATTTGGAATATATCCCAGTTTATATAATTTGAATGAGGGGCCTGTTCTGACAGCACACTTGCTGAATTTTATTCAGGTGTACTGTTTGCTCTTAAGAATTGTGCTCAGGAAAAACTTTGTTTTTCTGTTTAAAGCTGGAGTCAGCTCTGTGCTGATTGCCTAGCATTCTGTGAAGCCATAAGGCCATTTCCTCTTTCACTCATCTAACAGTTGTAGCATTAAGTCATTGTTTAAAAATTGATAACTGTTCTAAAACCAGTTTAAAAATAGCGAATGGTTTTATAGACACAGCAAGCCAGAACTCTTCAGAATTTCGGCTTATTAGCAAACAAGCATCATTTTGGCATCCTGGCTCCTATAAATGGCAGAAGAAAACAGACTGTAGATAACAAAGAAGCATGGTTTGGCTTTGACCTTTCTCTCTGCCTTGTTCAAGTGGACAAAACATTATCTCCAATTTGAATGACAGCAGTCCTGCTGTGGGTGGAGCCATCCATGTTAGCAACACCTGCCTGGAGGAAGAGCTGTCAGGATTAATAGAGTGAGTGTGTGGGCTGACCAGTTTCTTGATGACTAGCAAGCCAATATTCTGAAGAAGTCAGGGGTGGCTAAGAAAATCAGGAGAACGAGTAATCTGTTCTTGGCATTCCAAATGTGAGAGAAGGACAAGTTCCTGTACTTGCAAAGAGGCTGGCCTTTCAATCATGCTAATATTGTGAAGTGCTGTATAACTGATTGTACTAAACAGAAAAACCAGAAGTAAAGAAATAGAAAAGAATGCTTGTTTTGGGGGAGGTGTGTTTTTGTTTTCGTTTTCATGAGTTTTGCTTTTGTTGAGTAAGCCTCCTGTAAAAACATACTCATCTTTTAAATTTTAGATATAATTCTTTTTTTCCCCCCTGGTTTGACAGTGGAAAACAATCCAGCACAGTAACTTACAGCCGAGCCTTCATTCTTCACCTTTCGCAAAATAGAGAGGAAGGACGGAAATCATCACGATCGCCCATTCACGTTTGCATAGGCAAAGTCTTTCTTTAAAAAAAGGTCTTTTTTTGCCATAATATGTGGATTGTATGCCTATGCAATGCACCAGTGGTTTGTGAAGAATTTGTTTTCCTAAGTGTTGCAGCTATATTTCAGTCACTAGTATATCCCATTACTTATCTCTCTCACCTTCCCTTCCAATGCACTTTATATCACTTGGAAAATGTGGGAGTCGGACACTATCAATAAAGGGACTTGCCTAAGATCAAGAGGCACACACACTGGCCTTTCTGTGCTTTTCAGTTTAGACAGTGACTCAGCAGGAGTTGGGAGAAATACTAGGAAAACATTACTCAGTAGTAAAACATGGCTATTTTTGTTATGTAGAGAATTATAATGTAAATATGTGATACTGTGTTATTCTGTATTAGTAAAATATTGCAACTGTAAAACCTAAAGGATTGTGAATTCTAACGAATTTTATTGCAAGGATTTTTTAATAAAAAATATCTGATAAGTGTCATACATTTTTCTTAACAAATGTATTGGTTGAACTAGATTTCTCAGAACAGCAAAACTTGAAATCATCTCGCATAATGTTCCTGGGTGCTACAAAATATAATCTACAAAAATCCATGGAATTTAATGGAATCCATTCAGTTGAATTTTCACATCTTTCCTCCATCAATCTCTCTTTGTATTGGGGAGAAAAGGAAATTAAAAACTGTTTCTCATAGCAGCTACAGTAGAAGAAATTTAATTCAGCAGCCACTTCTGGTAGAATTGTGTGTTTCCCAGAATGCACAACACAGGAGGTTGCAGCATTAATTACAAATAAGAAATGGTTGAATAGACATCCCTCCCTCCCCAAATCCCACTGATTTCAGGGACCTCAATATTTTAACTCTGGATCTCATCCATTTTTTAGTCTTTTTTATTATTCAGAAAGTAAATACAAGTAGTCACAAAGAAAAAAATATTGATATACAAGGAAAAAGGGAAAAATCATTAACAATATTATTAAAAAAACCTACTTGATCACAAATTATATTCTTCCCTCCTACTGTGCCCCAACTGGTAATTGCAGTCAATATATTTATAAGTATTAGAAATTGTTTTTGATTTCTATTTAAGTTCTTTCATCTATTTTTTTTCTTTAGGAGCCATATTCTAAGTATCTAAGTTTGTTTTGTTGTGTAATATGCGATATATAAGGATGGCATTCTTGCTTAAATTTAGTTAAGCTTCTATTGTGAATATATAATGTCAATTTTGCCATTGCCGCATGTTCTCCAAGTTTAGTTTCCCAATCTGATATCACTGGCAAATGGATTGCATCCATTGATAACCATTCTGGAACTATTAAAAAAAATAAAAAGGAAGAATTTAAATAAGTAACACAGGTAGTTCTCGACTTACGACCATTCGTTTAATCACTATTCAAAGTTATGACAGTGCTGAAAAAAGTGACTTATGAACAGTCCTTGCACTTATGACTGTTGCAGCATCTCCATGGTCATGTGATCAAAATTCAGATACTTGGCAACCAGCATTATTTATGATGGTTACAGCATCCTAGGGTCATGTGATCGCCATTTGTGACCTTCCTGGGGACTTCCAATAAGCAAAGTCAATGGGGGAAGCTGGATTCGCTTAACCATATGATTCACTTAATGACTTGTGATTCACTTAACGACCATGGCAAAAAGGGAAAATCAGACATGACTCACTTAACGACCGTATTGCTTAGCAATGGACATTCCAGTCCCAATTGTGGTCATAAGTCAAGGACTAGCTGTAGAACAATTGAAATGAACAGTACACATACAATAGGAAAATGAAATGGCTGCAATCTTCAAGAATGAAAGTGAATAATATTTCAAATCACACATACCATATACACACATATATATGTACTTCTGTATAATTTCCACAATCGGAGCTTCTTTGTAATTTAAGATTAAAAGCAGTGACATGTTTTCTTCATTTAAATAAAGATTTTTCCAGTGATCTCTTTGCAAAAATGCTTTAGATTTCCATGGATAATATACTTTGATCCTCAGGGAGAAATTAGGTCCAATTTATATTTATCCATTCATAAGCTAGTTTCAAATCCAGCTGTTTTTCTTCCACATAAACCAGTTATATTTTAAATGGACAGCCAAATTGATGTTTGCTGTTTGCTGACATTCTGGCTCATTTCAGTAGAGTAGATGAACCTGTCTCAAAGCTAATAAAGATACTCAGGTGGGAGGAAGGAAAGCATTTCAATTTCATGAATTTCAGATCCAAGCCTGTTATACCAGCTATGCATATTGTCTCTTAGATGACTAGTTCTTGACTACAAAAATTCAGATGAATTAAGAAAATCACAAGATAAATGTTCCTGTTTGTTTAGAAACAGGGCAGAAGTAAATCTTGTGACTGGGCTCAATCTGACGATGCAGCAAGACTGCTAAAATGACTCTTCATATGACGGGAAAACACATCAATTAAATCATGAAGAAGAAACCACAGGCATTTTCATACATTTTTGTCAACATTGCTGGGAAATGTTCCAACAGAGCCTTACACATGAAGGGTGCAGGAAACTTCCCTTACAAACCCACTGTGATACTTTCAAGATGGCCCATAATGCTTTCTTGTTCATTATTAGACATTGCAGGAAAAGATCCATATTAGTCTATGGTAGCCCAACATCAGAAGGAATCTGGTAGCACCTTTTCAAACTAACAAAACTAATTAAAAGACATAAGCTTTAGCTAGCTCACAAAAACTTATGCCTGTTAGTCTGAAAGAGTACGACCACATTCCCGGATTTTTTTGTTTGTTTCGTTTTGTTATTAGACCACTAATCTTTCAGTTCTTCTTCCCATTTTCTTTCTTGATTTCTTGTTGCTTTCTATTCTTAAGATTGTTTTAAAATATGGTCATGAAAGAAAAAGAAATAATCTGTTTGGCAGACAGCTGGGTTCTGTTGCTATGATCTGTTCACACAACACAGCTGTCACTGATATTATAGATCCTAAGGGAACCATCTCAAATATCTGAAGAGGAATACATTTAAAAGCCAGAGAAATGGTATTGACATCTATATATAAAGATGAAAAGCTGAATAGCTGATTCCAAGATAAAGCAGCATTCTGAGAATTAAGGTACTCTGTGAGATTTCTACTGCAAACGGCCTGCAGTTCTTGACAAAAGACTTTAGAAAGGTCAACAAATTACTCTGCCAATTAGATTAGTGTATCATCTTTTATGTAAAGAGGCCATACATTAAATACCAACTCTTATTTTGGCTCAGCCTTCTCTGAGAAGAATGTACGAGTTCTGTTAGGCCACTGAAGGACAGATGAAAGGACAGGACTGAAACTCATAGAAATATGGATAAAAATATCTGTTGGGGCTGGGCAATGCACTCAGGCATCTACATCTTTTAGAAGGCTTAGTAGCCTGCTTTGCGATCTTTTCCAAGTTATTACATTTATACGCTGCCCATCTCCCCCAGATGGGAAATATCTACGTCTACCTGTACATGCATTGCTTCACTCCTGGTACTGATGGTGAAGCAAGCAGTTGAGCATGTGTGCAAATGCAGAGACGATTGGGGAAAGTCATCAGGCAGCCAGGCTGAGCATCTGGAGGGTGCAGTTGCCTCAATGTTTCAAGGAAGGTGGCTTTGCTTATAGCAGTTACTTCGTGAAGCATCACTTCTTTGATCAACCCTAATACCTACTGTATTTATTTGGAATAAGATTAAATAACTGGGAACAAATGAAATTCTGAAGTTACTGTGCTTTTGGCTGAAACTTTGTACATTTGAGAAATCCTGGAGAACTCATGAAATGCCAGATGATTAAAGGAGGGCAAACATCAAAAAGAGGAAAAAGGAAGATCCAGACACCTACAGACCCAGTCAGCTTGACATCAATACTTGGGAAAATTCTAGGAGAAATCTCATAGCAACTGGGGCTGAAAGCAATGCAGGCTTTCTTCTACTGGGCCAGACAATGAAATGCATCCAATTAAAAGGGAGAATTAACTGCCCACCAGTTTACTGAAATGAATTCATTACAAATGCAGCAAAAAAAAAAAAACCTTAAAAAGTAGTACTCCTTTGTCTTGTGGTTGCTTAGAGAAGGTTTTTTTTTTTAAAAAAAATGCTGGTTTTGTCCTGTTTTACAGCACCTATACATCATAGCTCTCACTATGAGATAGTGAGAAGTTACAAGAATGCTTCACAAAAGGCATTTGTATTACTTTTGCTGGATGACTTAATAAATTCCTTACTTTCTGCAGAAAGCAATTAGATGTAGTTTCACTATACTGTATATGTACCTGGATTTCTGTTAAGATATGATGTAAAAAATACATTTTGGAATAGAACTCTATTTTTGCATCACGAACATCTGCACTGGGGTAATAAGTAGTTTCAGAATATAAGACTGAAGCATTAAACAACTTTGGGAAATAAAATGCTGCCTAGAGAAAGGGCTTTGACTTCACCCTCCACCTTTACAACCACTCAGGTTCCAGGCCACATGGGGCCTTCTACGCCTCACAGCCAGAACCCCTATAACAAATACTCTCCTGTCCTGTCCTCTGAAAGTCCTCTTTAACTTTTTGGTTCCAGGATCTGGTGCTTCTACCAGAGTGGCCAGTGAGGCAGGTATGAGGCAGGCAGGTAGTTGCACTGCTGTGTTGGCTGACATAACAAGTGGAAACTAAACTTGAGTTGAAATTGCATTACTATGTCTGGTTGAAGAAACATGATTCCAGCAAGGATCACCACCCCATTCCATCCTGCAAATATGAGAGCCTAACCCAGATTCTCCCAACCTGGCTGCTCTCCAGAGATATTAGGATAAGACAATAGTTACTAATTGCCTTACTGGGAATGATGGGAATTGCAAATTGGGAAAGAATAGCAATTAAAAAAAATGTAAAGGCTGCACCCCATAGAGTCTTTTCCCCCCAATTTCTGCCCGTGGCATGACTAAAATTGTGCACATGGAGGAAGCACACAAACCCAGCACAGTTTGTGCAGGAGAGGAAAGGAGAAAGAAAGAAATCAGCCAGTTTAAGAGAGCACTGTGACAACTTCTTAACAGATCTATTTAAAAATATATTTTTAAGCTCATAACCTATTCCAATAAAGTTCTATCCATTTGTTTGGATCACTGCAAGTTTGTCAAAACTATTCTGAGATGTTTCCCTTCCTATATGAAGTCAGTTTGCATGAATTTTCTTTCATAAACCTTATTTCAGTTAATCTGGTCTTAACCAGCAGCAGGATAAGGAGGAAATGCATTCTAATACATAGGTAGGTTTTTTTCCTTACCCAGCTCTTATTAAAATCTCCAGTAGGGGGCACCAACATCTTTCAAATCATACTCTTCCCAAAGTTACATGGGGAGGGTTTTTTTTCATCATTCTCACTGAATGGAAAAAGAAACCGCTTTCAGCTTTTTCACTCAAAGATAAAGAAAATGTCAGTAAACTTCTCATGGGGGTGATATAAGGTTCTTTCACTCACATACATTAAATGGCCAAGAAGTACATGTAAATGTCTTGACGTTCATTGTACAAGCATCTCTTCAACATTCTGCAACAAATCTTTCTACTTCCCCATACAATCCTAAAGGACAGTATCATGAAGGAACTCCTATCACTGGACTTTTTAGTTCAGGAGTTTGGGATGGTGGGGACTGACAAGGAGATGAATAATCAGAAGAATAGTAATAGCACTATCCACTAATTCATGTGAAAATGGTAAAAAATACCATTCAAAGAAATCTAAAAACACCAAAGTAAAGAAGTAGTAACAACTTCTTTCTCAAAAGAAAAATAATTTTATGAATTGGAAGATTTTGGCACAATACTAGATGGGATCAGTAATTGTTACATAGAAAGTGTTAAATAGTAGCTGTGCTGGCTCTTAATTGTGCTGGCC